TAAATCGTGAGGAACTCCACAGCGATGCGTGATTCCTGAGAAAAGAGGTCGCGGCGTCTGAATAAATTGCAGGGAAAACCGCGCGACAGCGCGATTTCTCTATAAATTGTTAGGAAATCCCGCGCGAGAGCGCGATTTCGGAACAAAGTATGAAGAGTTATTCGGCGGGAGTCGTTGTTGATGTAGTTCGGGGGGCCAGCCTGGCCTCCCTGTGTCACCAAACTGGGCCGTACAAAACAGGGTGCGAGCCCCGGGAGAACAAACTTCAATTGAACAAATACAATGGTTACCGGACAGGGGGATCAACAAAAAATATCCTTTAGAAATGCGAACTCAACAACAGCAACAACAACAGCAGAATTCGGGGTCCTGAGGGATGGGGACCTGAGGATAGGAAGGGATCCAAGGGTAGATTTTTCTTGCTTGAGGCACCTCCTCCTCCTCCCTCCTCCTCCTCCTCCTCCTCCTCCTCAGGACCCACCCCTCAGCATCCCCCCTTCGACCTCAGGACCTCGTCCTCAGGACCCCCTCGCCCTCAGGAGCTCCAGCTCGGGACCCCCTCGCGCCCCGTCCTCGGGACCCCACCCCTCAGCATCCCCCCTTCGACCTCAGGACCTCGTCCTCAGGACCCCCTCGCCCTCAGGAGCTCCAGCTCGGGACCCCCTCGCGCCCCGTCCTCGGGACCCCACTCCTCAGGACCCCCCCTTCGACCTCAGAACCTCGTCCTCGGGACTCCCTCGTCCTCGGGAGCTCCAGCTCGGGACCCCCTCGCGCCCCGTCCTCGGGACCCCACCCCTCAGGACCCCCCCCTTCGACTCCCCCCCCCCACGGGGGCCCCTCAGAACCTCGTCCTCGTGACTCCCTCGTCTCGGAGCTCCAGCTCAGACCCTCGCTCCGCGCCCCGTCCTCGGACCTCCACCCCTCGGCACCCCCACCTTCCGACCCGCCCCGGAAGGGCCGGGCCGCCTCCCTCGAAGCCCGTCGCCGTCGCAATCTCCTCGCCCGCGGGCGGCGGCGAGCCGCCTGCGGCGGGGGGGGGGGGCCTTCGGGCCCCCCACTCTCGCCCCGTCGGCGGGTGCGGGGCGGCCCGCTCTCCGCGCGGGCGGGCACGGCGTGGGGTGGCCTGCCGCCCCCCTCCCTGCGGAGACGCAGCCAGGGCGAGAGTCAAACATCGTGCGAGGACGTAGCGTCTGGGCGAGAAAGGGGCCCAGGGACACACGAAGAAAGAAGCACACAGATCCCAGGACTCCCGCTATTTGTTCCACACGTTCTGGGTCTTCGCCCTCCCCCCCACTCCCTGTATGTGTTTCTACCTCCTGAAAAATCTGGACGAGAAAAACAATCCCCACCCCCACCCGGGACGCCTTGGCCCCGCTGGGCAATCTCCCCCCCCACGAAGTGGGCACCGTCTCCTCCGGGCTTCGGAACACCCATCCACACCTGCAGGGGGGACTCTGGGAGAGCAAACTTGCCCTGCCCCGGAGGGTGTCGGGATGCCTCCGAGGATGATGAGACAAATCGAGAATCTCTGAGATCCGGCGGCTCTGGAAGATGTCTCGGGCGCCGCGGCCTCCTCCCGGAACGCTCTGGAACGGAATTGTCCTCGTCCTGGTCCCGTCCGACCTGCCTCCCTCAGCGGAGACCTCCAAAGTGGGGACCAAGCACATGGGATCGGAGAACATCGCGCCGCATCGCCGATGCATCGCCGCCGTCGACATGGAAAACATCGGACTCCACATCGAGCCGCATCGCCCTCGAGCGTCGACGGCGACCTGCGGCGGGGCTTCTCTCATTGTTTGTCTGTCGGCACTGCCTACAGCGCCTCTGGCGCTGGCAAATGAATGCGGTCACGCGGAGTCAAAGTCTCCTGCGCTCGATACGCGAATCCATCCCAACAATCCGCCGTGTGGCACACATGTGATGCACATTCCTCCAAAGCAATTGCCACTGCAACGAAAGACGACACAGAGCTACACATGTAGATCCCACATCATTGAAGGGGCCCTGGGACACACGAATAAATACACACAAAAAAGGATTCCCCATATTTCCCCATATGTTCGGGGTCTTCGTATTCCCCTCCACTTCCCATACGTTCCAATATTCTCTGGGGAATCGACGATTCAATGTGTCTGTGTGTATGTTCCCCCTCCTGAATGTAGATCCCGCGTCATCCCTCTGCCCGCGCGCCTCCACGTCGGGGCTTCTCTCTCTCTCTCTCTCTCTCATCTGCCTACGTCGGCGGTGCGGGGCCCCCCGCCCCCCCCCGTCCCCGCGTCGGGGGGAGAGGCTCCTCCTCCTCCTCCTCCTCCTCCTCCTCCTCCTCCTCCTCCTCCTCCTTCTCCCCCTCCCCCTCCTCCTCCTCCTCTTGCCCCTCCTCCGCGAAGAAACAAAAAAACACGCGACGGGCGCTGTTGCTCCTCACGTTCGGCTCCCGAGGGCCCTGAACCTGGGCCACGGAGCCGCAGCAAAACCGCTCAGGATGGGGAACCAGTCCAGGGGAAGGGGTCGAAGGGGTCGAGAGTCGAGGCCTCTGGGGGTCGACGTTGCGAGAACAAGAACACGACGTCGGATGTCTGTCGGCGGTGAGCCCAGGGGGGAAGTGAGAAGGGGCGGGCCTTCTCGGAAGGCTCAGAAGCCCCCGGCTTTCTGAGAAGTTTTACCAGCCTTCCCCGAAGACGCAAACAAACTTGTCAGAGGGCGCGAGGGCTTCGGAGACATCTCGCCGCCTTTTGGGAAGACCTTTTCCTTCTCATGTCCCCCTGGCTCGCCGCCGAGTCTGGGTCAGGCAGGCGCACTGGCGCCGCCTTCGGGCGGCGCCCCCGGGCGCTCCGCGCAACAGGGTTGGAGTGTCGAGACTATCCAAGGCTACCGGGGCCTGCTGAGGCCACCAGCCAGGGCTGTCCGAGGGGCCTGTCGGTGCGCAGCCCGAAGCCTTGCCAAGGCAACCGCACGTGAGCCCGACCCCTGCAGGTCAGACTTCTGGAGCGCCGGCCCGGGTTCCGAACTCGGAGGGGGGTTGCAGCCGGGCGAGGCCCAGCGATGGTGTCCGTTGCCTCAGCGCCGATTGAACCCGCACGGCGGGTAGGGTTCGCAATCGGTCGCAGGTCCCTGCCTATTCGCAGACCTCCAGCGTGGAAGAAAAATCAAGGCTAGAACTTCTCGCCGTTCCCGGCCTCTGGGGGCCTTTGCTGGACCCCAGGACCGTCAGAGAACATCCTGGGGGAAAACGATCCCGATGGGGTCGGCAAAAAAAAACGACGTCTGGGGCATGGGGCGGAGAGGAGGAGGGCTAAGAAGAGGAGGAGGAGGAGGAGGAATACGAGGACGAAAACGAGGAGGAGAAGGAGGAGGAGGAGGAGGAGGAGAGGAGGAGGATACGGCTGGGCGTGCGGAAGGAGAGGATCTGGATGTGTTCCTTCTCGGCAATCGAATGCCGAGGACCGATCGAGAATCAAGAACAGGTTCGAGGCGCCTGGGGTAGGGGTGCTGGGGCGGCTGGAGGACGGAGAGGATTTCGAGGATTCTTTGGAAGTGATTTCTTATCGTAAGTATCCTCCTGAAGAGGTGCTGCTTTCAATCGGGACGGTTTTGACCAGTGCCAGCTCCTGGGGGAGCGGGGGAGAAAACGGGGGGCGTTTGGGGGCACCGCGGAGCCCCGGTACGTAAACTATCCCCGGGGAAGTGGTCGGGACCTCTGGGGCCGTAGAATGATATGGCCTGGCTTTTCTTGGGTCGTTTTGGAGGCCTCGAGGGGCCTCCCCGGAAGGAGTGGGGATCAACAGGCAGCAGGAGGGGGGGGGGGAATGGGGGACAAGGGGGAAAGGTGCGGGGTGAGTGGGGGAGCTCGAAAGGGAAGCAGGCGGAAGGGGGCGAAGGTGGCAGAATGGGAGGGCGGGGACGCAAAGCGGGGAGGAGCAGGGGAGGAGGAAGGAGGAGGGGGAGGAGGAAGAGGAGGGCTTTCAGTTTTCAACGAGTCTGAGGGGCAGCGGGGTTTTGACGTTGCTCTCGGGCCGCAGGAGGGGGGAGGGCAGGGACGAGGGAAAGAAGGCGACGAGCGAGGAGGGGGAGGGCGGCAAAACGTCCGATGAGGAGGAGGAAGAGCTGTGCGAGCGCAAGCGTCCAAAATAGCCCCAAGCGTGTCCGAAAAGGGGCCCAGGAGGCGAACGCAAAGGGCTTTTCGGAGCCCGTCCTCGAAACACTGCTGCCGAGAGCCTCAACTTGCCCCGAAGGGGCCCCCAAGACACCCCCAAGAGGCCCCCAAGACGCCCCAAGAGGTCCCAAAAAGCCTCGCCAGGAAGCCCCCGAGAGGCCTCCTGAGAGGCCCCGAAGTCGCCCCAGGAGGACTCATGGGGAGGAGGGATGCAGGGAAGGAGGGAGGGAGAAGGAAGCGGAAGAAAAGAAGAATGAGGTGGTGGTGGAGGCAGCGTCGCGCCACGCCTGCCAGCGACTACGCTCAAAACCCACTCAAAACCTGCCGACCCTCCACGCCTGACTCGTCCTGGGCAGCTTCTCGAGCCCCGTTCGGCTGCGGCGGCGAGGACCTCCAAAGACGCCCAAAAACGTCCGAGACTGCGGGGGGGGCCAAGAGATCCCGACACCGCTAGTCCCTGGACGCCTCCCAGGGGCGCATTCTGAGAGCAGAACCTCAAGGAGAATCCAGCTGTGTTGACGAGGCCTCTCCATTAGAGGGCGTAGAACAGCATAAAATCAACTTTTCCGACGTCGGGGACGCCTGCTCCCAAGGCGGCCGCAAAGTTTCTACCACTGCGGTGCCACGCAGGAGTATCAACTGTGCAGCCGCCTGGGGGGCAGGCGTCCCTGACGGCGAAAGCTGGTGTTATACCGTTCTTCGCCCGCTACTCCAGGACGAGCAGCAGTGTCGGAATCTCACTCACCTCTCAGAGACGACGGCAACGAAAAACCACGGCAACGGCGGAGGCGGCGACGGGCGACGGTCGCGGCGGGACGGCGGCGAGGCCGCCAGACGGCGCCGCCGCCTAATCCAGACGATCGGCTTCGTGGGCGGGCTGCCCTGGGCGGCGCGCTGAAGAGAGAGAGAGAGAGAGAAGCGAATTGTGCGTCGATTAATGGGTGGCGATACATGGGGGGGACGACAGGTGCACTTTTCGGGCCCTGAAGGCTTCCTTTTGGGCTCTAAAGGGCCCCTTTCTTCGGGCGACAGCCCTGGCGGACTCGCAGATCCGATGCCGCGAAAATGGAGACAGCGTCAAAAGTCAAGGCCGGGGCCCTGGACCCCATCTTTCTGCAGCCCTTTCCGGCCCACTGCGATCTGGTCCCGGGCCCGAGGCAGGGCAGCGCCAGGATCTCCCGGTATGAAGAAAATGGGAGAGTGCAGGAACGGAGCAGGCCGAGAGAGAACGAGAGAGAGAGAGAGAGAAAAAAAAAAAAAAAAAAAAAAAAATCCTGGCGAAGGACCCAACCATAAGCAATTGTTCGTAACGCGTTGTGGGTGCCGCTTTCGGAGGGGCTCCCTATGGGGCCACGAAACGCTGCCCTGGGTGGGGGAACCGCATGCGAGAGCAGCCACTGGGGCATTCGGTCGGGCTCCCTATGGGGCCACGAAGCGCTGCCCCGGGTGGGGGAACCGCATGCGAGAGCAGCCACTGGGGCCTTCGGTGGAGCTCCCTATGGGGCCACGAAGCGCTGCCCTGGGTGGGGGAACCGCATGCGAGAGCAGCCACTGGGGCCTTCGGTGGTATGGGGCCACGAAGCGCTGCCCCGGGTGGGGGAACCGCATGCGAGAGCAACCACTGGGGCCTTCGGTGGAGCTCCCTATGGGGCTACGAAACGTGTGAGGAGTGTGCCGAGAGCAGAGGCAAGGAGGGGGAGGAGGGAGGAAGGAGGGGGCAACGGGAGGAGGAGACGCGGGGCACCGTCTCTTCAAAACGAGGACCCAACACCACAGGATGGTTGGGAAAAACATGTTCAATGCTAAGATGAAGCTAGGACGAAGATAACATCGGGTGAAGATAAAACGAGAGTCTCTGAGATCCGGCGGTTCCGCAAATGTCTCGGGCGCCGCGGCCTTCTCAAAGCGTTCCAGAACGCTCTGCAAATCCTCGTCCTAGCCCCGTCCGAATGTTGTTCAATACGCGGTCCTCGGAAGTCCCGCTCCTTTCCCCAGGGCCAGCTTTTCATGCTGACTCGTCCAGACAATCCGATGCTGTACCTAAAGGCCATGGGGGGTTGGGCGAGGGTGCTGGTCGTGGGTTTGGCATACCTGACTGGGGCGATCAGGGTGTGGTATACAGAAACATGTTCAGGACACCCTGAGTCGTTTTCGACAGTCCCCTTTGGCCCGCGGAGGGCATCGCTGAATTTTGCTACGACGCGAGAACGTCGGGAACGGAGACGGCAGGAGAGCCCAGCATCGAACCGGCGGGAATCGGCAGGCCAGTAAGGCCTCCACTGAAAAACCGAAATTCCACACCTGAATCCGAAGTCGCACTGGCATGGGAAAAACATGGACATAAGCACAAAAAAACTCTAAGATCCGCGCGGATTTCTCGAATCGGCGATGGACCCCGCTCCCTGGCGAGCGGGGCGCGCCAGGGCGCGCCAGGGCGCGCCAGGGGCCCCAGCGCCGATCCGAGAAATCCGCGCGGACCTCCAAAAGTGTCTGCTTATGCCAGTGCTCGTTCCCCTCACCGAGCACCGGGATCCGAACCGATCGCACCAGGCGGGAATCGAATACGAGCCCGCGGGACGCTTAGCATGGGGGAAACGGGTCCTGCGGGAAAGGGGTCCTGGACCCCGGGGCCTTCCCCCAGGACGAGATCTTCATCCTGAGCCGTTTTCTGACAGTCCCGTGGCCCGTGGAGGGCCCCAAGAGCGGCGAAAAACCTGTCGGGGGTCTGCCGACCCGGGTCAATCCCGGGTCAGTCAGGCTTTGCAGGATCCTGCAGGATCCTGCACCCAGAGCCGGGCCAATGCAACCTTGGCTCTGCAGGATCCTGCAAAATCCGGCGCTCGGACCGACCCCCGCTTGCATTGGCCCCCATCTCCAGGGCCCCCGACTCGGGACCCGCTGCCCTCGGGACCCGCGCCCCCGACTCGACTCAGCGAGCCCGCGGGTTTGTACGCCCGAAATGGGTACGGAAAAAAATGGGTACAGTGCCCAACAACAAATCTTGTCCCATACCAACAGCGGCCGCCGTTGGGCAGGCGGCCTTCTGTCTCGAATGGACACAGGCCGCGGCGGCGCGGACAGCGAGTCCTGTTCCAAATGACCAGGATCCGCTGTTGGGCATTGTACCCATTCTTCCCGTGCCCATTTCGTTCGTGCAGAGCGGGAGGCCGAGAGCGGGAGGAGGCGCGGGAAAGGCGGCCGGCCGTCCTCGCCCGGGGTCCACTCCACGCGCTCTACCTCCGCGCGGTCCGCGGCGACAGCGGGGGGAGGGGCAGCGATGGGGCCCCAAGCGGTGGGGTGACAAACCGGGCCTCGTCTCCACTCGGGGCGGCTCGAGGATCGAGGGCTCGAGGCTCTCGCCATCGCTCGGACGTCCATTCCCTGTGCCTTTTTCGGTTTCGCGCGTGGTTTTCGCTAAATGATCAAGGATGCTCCTCGATGGCCCTCGCCGAAGGAAAAATGCACACGTCCGAGCGATACCAGGGGCTCCAGGGTCCAAGGTGGCTTCCTCCCACCTCGCGGAGCGCTCTCGCCGCCACCGCCGGATTCCCCTCGAGCCCTTGGTCAGGGCGCTCTCCCGGAGAAGTTCGGGGGCTGGATCGGCGAGAGGCCCCAGACGGCGAATCCGCACGCTCCTGGGCGGGGTGGGGCATTCAGACCCCCACGGTCAGCCCCAGGACAGAAGAACATCCCCCAAGAACATGAGACCCTCCGCCAGCCAAACCAAAGAACGTTCGAGTGCCCCCCGCCCAGGATGCACACAAACGTCCAACAAACACGAAGAGCATTAAGGAACCCTCCCGGAACCGACCTCGACCTCGGTCCGACCGTAGTCTACGACGACAGTTCCACCTTCCGTCGAGGCCAGGCCCTGGCGGACCGACGACAAGCGGCGGCGACCAACATCCGCTCAAACCATCGGTCCCCGCACCCCTCCCAGGCCGCATCCTGACTGGCTTCCCAGGCTGCGCCCACGCAAGGGCGGCGAGAGCCTCCAGAAAGGACCGGAGAGATCCGAGACGACGACGACGACGACGACGACGACATCGAGGACGACGACGACCACGGCGACGAACCTCAGCCCGACCGCATCGGCGATCCATGGGCGCTTGGGGTCCGATGCGTCCCCCCTGAGCCTGTCCCCCCTCATCCTCTTGCCCCCGCTCTTCGCTGAAGGGGCCCTGGGACACACAAATAAAAAGATTCCCCATATGTTCCCATATTTTCTGGGTTGTTGTCTTCCCCCCACATTGTGCCCCACACCCCATAGTTTCCCATATTTTCTGGGGGATCGACGATTAATTGCGGCTGTGTGTTTCTTCCCCTCCTGACTCATCCTCTTGCCCCCGCTCTTCGCCCACGGCCCGCCTCGCCCTGCCGCCGGCGCCCACTCTCGCCGGCCTCCCCCCACCCCGCCTGTAGACATCTGAGAACGACGATCAAAAACGGGCCCTCCGCGAGGTGGCACATCGACTCTCGCCGGCCTCCCCCCGCCCCGCCTATTAGACACCTGAGCGACGATCAAAAACGGGCCTTACGTGAGGTGGCATAGCGAACTTTCGCGGTGGCTCACGCGGGCCGCCGGCGCGGCGCGCGACCTTGCGCGGGCAGCTCACGCGCGAACGTCGGTGAAGGCGACCCCGTTTTTTGCGTCGCATCTGGCGTATCGGGAAAGGCGAAACACAGGTTGCCGGCCCTTGGGAAATGATCGAGAGGTCGGGGGCCTGCGTCTCGAAGAAACCGAGACGCCGGAGGTTGGGGCTTCTCTCACTCATGGCCCCCCCCCTGCTCATCGGTCTCCCCTACCTCCCAATCGTGAGAAAAATCCCGACGGACGGTGTTTCGCAACTTCTGGCCTCCGAGAGCCCCGTCCTGGTCTCTGGGGGGCCGTCCGAAAGCGACTCAGGATGACAAGCCAGTCCCCGAAAAGGGGTCCACATACTTCGGGTCAACGTTATGGAGAGAACTCGAAAACGCGACGTCGGCGGTCTGGGCCCTCCTTGTGCCTCTTCGTGGTCCTTCCCCCCACTCCTCTCCCCATCCTTCCCTCCCTATCATCCCTCCCCCATCCCTCCTTTCCCCCCCTCCTGCCGGAGATGGCACAACAGCCCTCGAGCAAGCAGCACTCCTCCTCCTCCTTCTTTCCTCCCTCCTCCGCCTTCGCCTCCGCCTCCTCCTCCTCCTCATCATCATCCTCCTCCTCCGCATTCTCCCCCTCCTGCTCCTCTCCCTCCAGCTCCTCCTGCTCCTCCGCCTCCTCCTCCTCCTCCTCCTCCTCGTCCTCCTCCTCCTCCTCCTCCTCCTGCTCCCGCTCTCCTCCTCCTCCTCCTCCTCCTCATCATCATCATCATCATCATCATCAGCATCATCATCATCATCATTCATCATCATCATCATCATCATCATCATCATCATCATCATCATCATCATCAGCATCAGCATCAGCATCAGCATCATCATCATCATCATCATCAGCATCATCATCATCACATCAGCATCATCATCAGATCATCATCATCATCATCATCATCATCATCATCATCATCATCACATCATCATCATCATCCACCTCCTCCTCCCCCTGCTCCCGCTCGCTCCTCCTCCTCCCTCTCCTCCTCCTCCTCCTCCTCCTCCTCCTCCTCCTCCTCCTCCTCCTCCTCCTCCTCCTCCTCCCCCCCCTTCTGATCCTCCTCCTCCTCCTCCTCCTCCTCCACCTGGCCTGCGAGCTGCGACCCCGTGAGCGGCCCCAGCACGGGCACTGACGGCGACGGCAGCCTGGCCAACAGTGTTCGGCGTAGTGCTACGGCCTGGGCCAGGGGTGGCAGGGGACCTGCAATGTGCGTGCGTGAGTGCGGCCCCGCCCTGAGCCCAGGATGCGACGAGGACCTCGACGGCAAGGGTATGGCCAGTGCCAGGGTTGGCAGGGGACCTGCAAAGTGCAGTCCTGAGTGCGGCCCCGCCCTGGGCACTGGCGGCAGTGGACCCATGGGAGCGGCATCGCAGGTGGAGGACCAGGGGCAGCCGCCGCTGGCTTCTGGGGAGTTGAGCGGCCCCAGCACGGGCACTGGCAGCGACGGCAGACAGGCCAACTGCGTTCGGCGTAGTGCTACGGCCTGGGCCAGGGGTGGCAGGGGACCTGCAACGTGCGCGCGTGAGTGCGGCCCCGCCCTGAGCCCAGGATGCGACGAGGACCTCGACGGCAAGGGTATGGCCAGTGCCAGGGTTGGCAGGGGACCTGCAAAGTGCAGTCCCGAGTGCGGCCCCGCCCTGCGCACTGGCAGTGGCCCTCTGGGAGCGGCTTCGACTGCGGAGGACCAATGGCAGCCGCCGATGGCGTCGGGGGAGGTGTGCTTACGTGCAACTACGGCTGGTGCCAGGGGTGGCAGGGGACCTGCATTGTGCGGTCCTGAGTGCGGCCCCGCCCTGAGCACTAGCACTCACCCTGTTCGGCGACGGAGTACGGCCTGGGCCAGGGGTGGCAGGGGACCTGCAATGTGCGATCGTGAGTGCGGCCCCGCCCTGAGCCCAGGAAGCGACGCGGTTATCGACGGCATGTGCGTGGACAGCACCAAGGGCGGTAGGGGACCTGCAAGCGCCGATCTGGTGGGTGGCCCTGCCCCGTCTGCTGGCAGCGCCGCGGTGGCTCGTCCTGAGCCTGCGCAGCCGAGGCGCAGCGTCGCGCCCAGGCTCGAGCGGCAGGTCGCTGGATGGGCGAGGTACTGGACCCAAGCACCAGAGGTCGGCGAGACGATGGAGTGCTACAGCGAGTGGCTCGACCACTGCGTCGGCTACGTCACGCAGTTCCTGTCCCAGCCGCGCTTCGCCACCAGGCTGCGTGCGCGTGGGATGACGGCCGAGCAGATGGCCGAGGAGATCTGCGAGCGTGCTTGGGGCACTGGCATGCCCGCGAGGCGGGCCTACTACAGGTGGCGCAACACGTTGACGCGGTCGCAGAGGATCGTGTCCGACTGCATGCGGCGCTACGACTACGTGTGCCTGCGGTCGTGGCTCGCAGAGCTGCAGCGGGATGGGCAGCCGCCGCCCATTGGCCCGCTCAGAACGTCGTCGGTGCCATGGACTGCGGGGCGCAGGAGACGACGGAGGAGTGGTTGAAGATCGGCCGCTCCCTGCTCGGCCAGCCGCGGCGGGGCGTCTTGCCCCAGCGGCTCGCCGTACGGCGCCGCGGGGCGGCCTGGCCCCAGCGCGCCGCCCTTCGCGCTCGACGTGATCGGCTTCACTGGCCTCCCCTGAGGCTGCGGCCCCCTGGCCGCTCGTGCTGCGTCTAGTTGGCCTGTGCCGACGCGACGCCCTGCCGCTGCTCTCGCTGCTCTCCTCCTCCACCTCCACATTCTCCCCCTCCTGCTCTTCTTCCTCCTGTTCCTCCTCCTCCTCCTTCTTCTCCTCCGCCTCCTCATCCTCCTGCTCCTCCTGCTCCTCCTCCTCCTCCTCCTCCTCCTCCTCCTCCTCTTCCTCCCCTTGCTCCCGCTCATCTTCCTCCTCGTCCTCCAGCTCCTCCTCCTCCTCCTCTTCCTCCTCCTCCTCCTCCTCCTCCTCCTCCTCCTCCTCCTCCTCCTCCTCCCCCTCCCCGTCACCCTCCTCCTCCTGCTCAGCATGGCAGGCAGCGAGCCCTGGCGAGTGTTCGGAGGTACAAAGTGGAACAACGGAGTGGGCAAGCCCGACTTGTTCTGCTCTAAGTGCTTTACCAACAAGACCACAGGGCAACGTTGGTGAACCCAGGGTCCTCGGACAAGTACACAACATGAAAGCTGCACAAGCGCTCGAGATTCGGTGGCAACCGCTCAACTGGGGCCCCCTCCAAGCGAGGCTCCGCCGTGGTCGCATGCAAAGAAAAACCAGCGCAGTCAGAGTACGCGACGCTCTAGGCGAAGGTCACCAAGCTAGAACATCAGCCCAAGGAGGCCAACACCCAGCGCGTCGAGAGCGGGGGCAGGGAGGTCGACGGCTGCGAGGACGGAGCCGCTTCAGGAGCTGGAGCGGCGGAGCGCAAGCAGGCGGACTTCTACGCGAGCGAGATCCGGCGGCGCAAGGCAATCTCCCTTCCCCCTGGAGCAGACGGTACCTACGACGAGCAGATCGCCAAGTTCCAGGAGAGCCTCGACGACCTGCGTAAGCGGCTGCACGACGCCAAGCCGATGGACGCGAAGGTGCAGATGGCAAAGCGCGAGGTCCAGCGGCTGGAGTTCACGGTCACCAAGCAGGTGGAGAAGGTGTCCGCCCAGCAGGCGAAGGTCGAGGCGGCCAACGCCGAACTGGCCGAGGCGAGCCAGCAGCACTCCAAGTTCACGGCCGACCTGGCTGCTGCCAGGGCCAAGCTGCAGGAGTTGCACGCTCTGGAGGTGGTGCCTGGGGGCGGCAATCCTGCTGTCGCGGCGCTGGACCCGCCCGAGCAGGCCTCGATCGACGAATCTGTGCTGGCCCAGCAGCTGGGGAAGAACGGCATGGGCAGCAAGCAGTCCAAGGCGCTGACGAAGACCTTGGCGTCGGATATCTCGTTCGTGGTGGTGCCGAAGCCGAAGGCCCCGGCACGGGAGCCGCCATGCAGCCCGCCCTCGACGTGTTCGCCACCGCGTCCGAGGCCCAGCTGCGCGAGTCGCTCGAGAGGCTACGGCCCGGCGACATGGCCCCTCATATCCCCACGGATGTCGAGGGCATGTGCGCTGTTGCTCGGCATGCTGCTCAGTGCCCGCTCCCCAGGATGGCTGCCAGGCAGGGACATGGGACTGCGCCTTACTACCGACATAATGATGCCCACCATCGCGGCCATGGGCGGCGGCGCCGAGACGTTCGACTACCTCGTGGACAAGGAAGCAGCAATTCGTCATGGAGCTCGCGATGCTGTTCAGCACCAGACCGCACTTCCCGAGGCGGAGTTCGGCGACGGCTACCACCTCCACCAGAACGCCAACTTCAGCAACTCCTTCCTCACGACGGACACCTGTGGGAACGTGGACATGCTGGTGGCATCGCCTGAAGCCAAAGATCGAGTGAAGGCGCTGATGGATCCAGTCGTGATTCGACCTCGGGCCGAAGCTGATGGCAGGCCGGAGCTCCTGGCCGCGCCGATCGGTCAGGAACGGCGGTGATCCTCAGTGTGCGATGGGGCGCCCACCGTGGGTGTCCCAAAGACCCCCCATAAGGGTCCTTAGGGGGGGGGTCAGGAACCTCATTTTCGAGCGGAACGGGCCGGGAACAACCTCGAGCAGCTGGGCATCCAGGCACCTCGAGGAACAAGCGGGGCAGTGGCGGAAGCCCCAGTGGTAAGCCAGCGAGCACGCTGGCCATCACCGCCAACGGCACGATGTGGGCCAGCCTGTCGGACATCCTGCTGGACCCTCTTGCGCGACAGGCAGACTTGCTCCTGGCCCAGGAGACCCACGTGGCGGGGACGCAAGCATGCAGCACTCAGGAGGACTGCGCCAAGCGGGCCAAGTGGCAGCTCCACCTTGACCCCGCCACCCCGACAAGCAGAGGTGGCACCAGCGGAGGCCTTTGCACGGCAACGCAGCCGTGGCTAGATTTGGCCAAGTACGGCTGAGTGAGCTCCCGCTTCGCCCCGGGCAAAGGCAGAGTGCAGATGAGGTGCTGGAACGGATCGATTCCTGGTGGCATCATTGTCGACAACGTGTACCTACACCACAGCGAAGGCATGACGGACAGGAACCACCTCCTCATCAACCTGTTGCTCCGCGAGGTCAGGAGGCTGCAAAGGCCGTTCCTGATAGGAGGTGACTTCAACATGTACCCCTCGGAGCTGGCAAAGTCGGGCATCTTCGAAGCTTTGCAGACAGCGGCACTCTTCACCGAGGAGCCGACCTACGGGGAATTGGCCACAACGGAGATGATCATGGTGCAGAAGACCCCCATGAACTGCCCTGCTGTGCGGCCCATCGGACCCGCTCGGGAGGCGAATACGGCATGGGAGCAGGCGCACGAGAACTTACACGATGCTGAGTTCGGGGCACCAGCGCTGGAAAAAGGCTTCGAGAACTTCATGAGTGGAGCGGAGGAGGAGCTAGGGAGCATCTTCCACCTGACCCCCTCGGAGGCCATCAAGAGTAGCGGCACAGGGCGTAGGCCAGTGTTCGTCAGAGTCCACCCAAACAGGAGGAACAACGCGGCGGTGGCGAAGGCATCTCCCGAGGCACGGCACGCGCTTTGGATCGGTGATAGGTGCACAGAGCTGGCGAGGGCTCTCGAGCGAGGTACAGCAGGTCACTGGACGGCCGCTAGTAGGCTCTATGAGGCTCTGGAGAAGTGGCATGGCTCGCTCAAGGACACCGTGGACTGGGAGGACCTCGAGTGGTACTGGCCGTGGCTCCACTCCTGGCTTAGCCCCGAGGACCTCGAGGCCTTGGCGGAGACGGCGCACGCGATCGGCAAGAGGCTCACGCGTGACTTCGAGCAGCTGCGGTGCAGGTCGTTCGACAGCTGGGCCAAGCGGGTTACCATGGACGGAGCGGGATTGGCTCACACGTGGACCAAAGGACCCGCAGGGGCAGGCAATGGCGCCAGGCACAACGGGGTAGCAGCGAACATCCAGGAGGCGGCCGACAAGTTCTGCGAAGAATGGTTGGAAGAGATCTGGAACGTACGCGACCCAGCGCTGGCCCCAAGCTGGGACGACATCAAGACGCACGAATTGAGCGAGCCCTCCGTGGACGCCCTGAGGGAGGCCAGCAAGCGCTTCGGGCAGAGAATGGCACTCGGCTCCGATTCCTTCCACCCGCGCTAGTTCGCCATGCTCTCGGACGAGGCCCTGGAATTCTTGGGCAGGCTCTTTGTGCACATGGAGCGGTTAGGCGAGCAGCCCGAGCAGCTCGTCGCCATCGTCGTGTTCTGGGCCAAGAAAGAAGCGGGGTGGGACCGATAGCGCTGCGCGGTGGGTTCCTTCGAGTTTGGACCAAGGTCAGGCGAGCGCAGATGAACGAATGAGAGGCCGAGCATGGCTTACCATGTTTTCGCAATGCCAGCGGCCGCACGGCATAGCGAGCTGTATCGGACCAGGCAGTGCACCAGGAGTGGGGGGCCAAGGTCGGCATGCTGACCACGCCGGCCCTGCTCGACATGACCAAGGCCTGCGTTCGCATCGGGCACGGACGGCTGTGGGCCGATGGCAAAGAGTGCGGGGCGAACCTGGTCCTGCTTCGGGTCAGCCTCAACAGCTACTCGGAGGGCAGTCGTTGCAAGATCGAGGAGGCCTTCTCGGACGTGGTTAGCGTCATGTGCAGCATGATTGCTGGATGTGGCTTCGCGACGTCATGGCTGAAGGTGTTGATGTACAGGAGTCTCAAAACCTTCGGTGAGCAGTGCATCCAGCTCTTCGCTTTCGTGGATGACCTCACGATGGTATGCATCGGCACCCAGACATGGTTGCTCAAGATTTCGGCTGCTGGCCTCGCGTACCTCATTCAGCTGATGCGCGACCTCGGCTTACAGATCAACGGCACCAAGTCCACAATAGTAGTCCGAGAACGGCGGACTGGGAGGTGGATAGCCGACCGAGCAAAGGAGGCCACTGGTCAGGTCATCCAGACGAGCAAGCACAACCGCAACTTAGGCGTCGACTCCACGGTGGGAGGCCAGCGGAGGGTCAAGGTCATCAAGGCCAACATGACCAAGCAGCGCGGGAGGCTAGGCCGGGCGAAATGTCTGCGTCAGCGGGGCGCCGCGGCGAGCAAGGTCGGTCGCCTCGGGATGCAGCCAGCAATGAAATACGGGGCCAGCGTCCTCGGCAAGAGCGACACCCAGCTTCAGGAACTTCGAGCAGCAGTGGGGGCGACGATGCGCACCGACGCGGCGCAGAGGTCACTCACGTTGTCGTACCTGCTGGAGGATGGCAGGCAGGACCCAGCCCACACCGTCGCGAAGCTGCCGCTGCTCGAGTGGTCCAAGGCTATCTGGACCAAGCGCATCCCCCTCCACATCTTGCAGGGAACGCTCGAGCGGGCCGAGGCCGTGCGGGCACGCGGAAAACGCCCGTGGGCTGCTGCCGTCGGGCCCGGCGGCGCGGCGGTGGCCACGTTGAGG